TGCAGTTGTTGCTGTAGTTCTTGCTGCAGTTGTTGTGGATGTTGCAAGCCTTTGAGTTTTCTTATCACATAAATTGTGCACACAAATCTTGATCTGCAAATCATTTTCGACAACTTTACGGCCGCGCACACGTTCAAAAACGTGCCTAACTCTTAAATACACTGGGCGAAAACAAAGGCTGCGAATCCAATTCAATTTGTGTTGAACTTGAACATTTGAGATGTGCTGGGATATTTGTTATATGTAGATTGCAGAGGAGGCAGTAGGTTTAAGTGTGAAGGTGATCAAATACGAATCCGAAATTGTTCCTTCTGCCTACAAGTCTTATAATAATTATATATTCATTTAAACCTGAGCTTGACGTTAGGTATATCTTTATTCAAATCGAATTTCCATAGAAGTCCAATTGATGGAGTCGAAAATAGTTCAATTTATAATAATATATATAATGAATATATATGTTCAATATATGTACTGGATAAATTCAAGAATCATTGCTTCATTATGCTTAATTTTTGCTCATATATTCACATTAAGTTTATGTTGAGAAATAATTATTCAAATTATTAAAATTTATATAAATAAAAAATCTTAAAAAAATTAACCAAGAATATTTTGTAAAAGTCTTGAGAAATAAGGCGAATTCAAACAAGTTTCTTAGCAAAAAAAATCAATCCAAAGTTAGCTAGAGCTAAATGGGGTTTGTGATGAGGGGAATTTCATCTCAAAGAAAATGAAATCGTTTTATGCTTAAAATTCACATAATTTAAGAACTTGGCTTGAACCTAAGAAACATGACTTAAATTTGAGCTGGATTTCCATTGAGAGATTAAAGAGAAACCCATTCGATATTTTATGATTCTGAAAACTAAACTCATCTAAAATCGTCCATTTGCTTTCAGTGTATTTGCTTATTTTATTTTATGTTATTGGGCCACGTTATCTGTAGCTTAGATCAAAGACACGCACACACACACACACGCACACTCCCATGTTGCAGGCACTTCACTTTGTTGGCCACATTTCCTGTCTCACTTTTTTAGCAGCTCCTACAAAAATATTGAATTATTTACGTGCCCAACTAAGCTGACATTTAATTTAAGTGCCAACACCAGGTACAGATCGTGGTCCAACTGGAGCGCCAACTGGAGCGGCGAGCTCCAATTGGAAGAACTGTCTGCACTAATGAAATTTATGCATTTATGCCAACGGGCTTAATGTGGAGGATGTTGTCCGTATGCCATGATGCCACGATGCCATGATCCATGTTAATGTCCATCAAATAAATGTGACTCTCTCGGCTGTCAATTCGATTGTTGAACATGTTGCAAAGTTGCCAAGGAGTCGCAGAGACGACTCGACGCTGCTCTGCTCTGATCAATTTGCAATTAGCCGCACTTGCAACGGATATGGTTTGGTTTGGTTCGGATGCCCTGCGACACTTGCAGCAAACAGCAAAACAACAACAACAACAACAACAACAAAACAGCTGCGACGTTTCCCGTGAGAAATTTCAATTATTTTAATTAGCGTTGCGATCCGCGCGGCTGCTTTATTAGGCGACGACAACAACAACAAGGTAACAACAACAACAACAACGAATGAACGTGGAAGGCGATGTTAGCGCGTCTGCGTCTGCGCAGAGTCTGCGATGGCGACTGCGTCAGCGTCTTCCAGTTTGCCGCTGCTAAGCGCCTGCGTCCAATTTCCGCTGCCGCCGCACAGTGGAACGCGTCTGGCCGGATGGCGTGGCAAAAAGATTAAAATTTTAACAGCCCGCATTTATGGACAAATGAATGTGCAGACAATTGAGCGCAGCTTAAGAAGCCAAACAAATCATTTTGTAAGCGATTGCCATTTACGGTTAATCCCAGTCCATAAAGCAGAAGCTGGCCAAATGGCCATGGCTGCACGGATGTCATATAAGAGTTTACGAAACACCCTGTACGAGCCCACAAATCTGTGCTCACTCTAGACAAAACAATGCACCATACAAAACATAAACTAAATGAAGAGGTAAACACGAACGGATGCAACCGTTTTATATCAAATAGACTACAAAGAAGAAAACTAAGAAAAAATATTGTTTGTTTCCGTCTGAAAGTGCATTGAAGATCCAGCGTTCAATATAGTTGCATATATTGTTTACAAATATTTTAAGGTAAAAGATTAGTTTCGGTATAAGTGAAACACCTGTGCACACACATACAGTTATAATTTGCCATGTAAAGCAATACAAATATATTTAAGTTTAATCATAAATAAAATCAGTATTAACAGCTCTTGCTTGAATCACCCTGTGCCAACACTTTTCACTCCACTGCCCTGCACGAATTTTTGCATAACAAACACAGTCGCACGTTGCTAAGCACTGTGCGGCGATGCTGACGCTGACGCTGGCGTCGCTGCCCGACTTTGGAATGCCAGAATGCCAGAGTTGATAGCGGTGTCAGAACAGGATTCTGGATTCGCTCGCTGCTAGTTGGAGTCGAAGTCGAAGTCGGCTAATGACATGTTTTGGATAATGATGACGGGCAACGGATTGGAAGAAGGAGTCCCAGCGACGATGGCGATAAAGAGTGGAACTTAATTGAAATTGATGAGACACTGCGCTCGGCGCTGGCCATTCGGAAAATTGCGTACAAAGTTGGCAACGTTTTGGCCAAGCAAATCAATCTGCATGCCAGCAGTCAGCGACGACGGCTAACTGTGTCAAGACACTGGACCACCCGGCAGATAGGCGACTGTATGTATATATGCACACACACACACACACATACATATATACATATTTATTTGTGTACTTGTGAGTGCTGCAATTCCAGGTGCTTTATAATTGGCCGCTGCGGTGTCAATTGCAGCGCCAGCGCTCAATTAATGGCAAACCTACGCCGCCTGCAGCTGCCAGCTCACTGACTCCCCTGGGAGTTGGCAATGTGACTTGCTGCTGGGGCAGCGCAGCAGCGCAGTCGCGCAGTCGCGCAGTCGCCCGCTGTGCACGGGAATGCCAATTTCAGCAATTAACAACAATGGCCATAAATGCGTGAAACGCATAAACTGACTGGAAATGCAGCAGCCAGCAGCCAGCGAGAGAGAGAGAGAGAGAGAGACTGAGATGCGTTTGCGATTCAGCTAAAGCTAAAGCCACTTGCAATATTCTGATTGGAACGGCAATTGGTGTGCAGCTTTAACTGCTCGCACGATCTCCAATTTGAATATGAATTTTCGAAACTGGGCAACGCCATTTTGTTTTCTTATTGGATTTGCGCTGTGCGCTGGAGTAAAAGTAAGCGGTAGCTGCGCTCTGCGCGGTTCGTGCCAACCATTGACCGAGCCAAAGGCCAATGGCGCACATTAATCAACAGATCATATTCATATATTGGCCATTGTTTATGCAGTTATTAGGATAAATAAATATAAAATGTGAGCACGCTAGATGAGCAACTAGGCGATACCCTGTAAAAAGCGCAGTTGGCGAATGAGTGTTGCTTGACAAATGTTAACTAGATATATAAAAATATTAAATACTAAATTTCAATATTTGCTAACATAACAGACAAATATGTAAATATGCCTGTTGATTGCCGATTAAATATGCTGTTAAAGCTAAAAATGTTAAGCTCCATTGCTAAAGGTCTTTATGTAAACTAACAGCTCAAGAAGCTCTTTTAAGCTAACAGCTAACAGTCTGGTTAGTGCTGCAATCTTACATTGCTATTATCGCTAACAGATTATGCTATGCAGCCAATGTGCCTTGCATACCCCATTTATGTAAATTACAGCGTATTGCCAGCTACAAATTGCTCCAAAAATCTTTTTGTTTTGATTCGCTTTGCCCTTTGGCTGAAGCTGAGAAACTGAGATTCAATTTATTTATTCATATATTTCATTTTTTTCAGCTTCAGCTTCAACTTCACGTTTTTTATGATTCAAGGCGCTGCAATCAAAAAGCCAAGTTCAATGACTCAAAAGAGATTGATATTGTATGTGTGTAGGTGTGTGTGTCTGTGTATTGTTGAAAGGTGTCTAAAAAGCTGTGAATGGCCTGTCTGTCCGTCTGCTTGTCTGCCTGACTGTCCGTCTGTCTGTCTGTCTGTCTGTGTAGGGTCTGCGTTTGATGCTTGGCCTTGATTTAAATTCGTGGGCAAATGAACTATTTAACAAGATTTGATTCATGTTAGCTGTCAAAGAGGCGGAAAAACGAGCAGCAAAGGGAGGCGAACAGGGGGGGCGATGGTGCTAACGGTCATTTTCAATTTCATTTCCTGTTTGCGCTTTGCATAATGTTTGCATTGTTTTCTAACTCCCGCAGACATGACTCACAGAACAAAGCAACGGTAGCTCAAATACCTTATATAAATACAACAATACATATACATATATTGATAATATCATCCATGACAATTCGTGCTAAATGTGTTACAAATGCAGTCAGAGCAGAATTCGGAAACAGACACGTTCGCCGCACTAAACAAGTTTGATTATTACGAAACACGGCCGTTGAAATTAAAAATTGAAGACATTGTAAAGAAAAAAAAAAAAAAAGAAGAAGAGAAATATCACACACACCGAGGGAGCTTTTGCTACCTGTACAGCTGGAATTATTTGCACCTTATCAAATAAAGTACAGACACACACAAATTAGAATATCTATCTTATGAGCATATCGTAAACATCTCTCTGCCCACAGATCGATCGGTGTACATACTGACGACATACATGCATACACACACACACACACACACACACACACAGCTGCATATACACACATATTCAGCGTGCTTCCATTCTGTTCACTAATTCCAAAATCTTGGAAATTAAAGCGTTTTTAGCACGTCAAACGCAACTAAAACGCGTTCCAAGTTCCATATCCCCGCAACAACAACAACAACAGCAACACAAAGGCACTCACAAATACAACAACAACAATACACAGTCGAGCCGAGGGCCGACGCACGTTCGCTCGTTGGGGGGCTGCGGCTCGTGTTTAACGGGCTTTCGCTTTCAGTTGCTGCTCGTTGCTGCGTCCGATTGGTTTTGTCTTTCAGCTTCGCTGTCCGTTTCGCTGCTCGCCATTCGCCGTTCGTCGTTTTCGCCGTGTCGCGCTATTCGCCGTGAGCTGCTCTCTCGCCAACGGTAAAACGCTGCCTCGATAACCAAGCCGAATCGATAGCGCGCACAAAAATGTATTAAATTTGAGATCCTTTCTACTCTACTGTGCTGTGCTGTGTTGTGTTTTGAATATGGATACGCAGGATAATCACCGCGGCTCGGTGTCCTCCAGTAAATCATTGGATATACCTGTTACGCCCTCACGCTCACCCAAAAAGGTGTCCTTCTCCGACGAGCTGCCCGGCAGCCAAGTGCAATCCGAGCCCACTGGCGTTAGCCAAGTGCTCCAGCAGGCTTCGCAGTATCTGGAACGTTTGCACGGCGCACGCGATTTTCCAGTCGAGGATGTTGAGCCACCGCCCGCTGTGCTGCAATTGGATACGCAATCGGTGCAGCTGGAAGCGAATACCTCTACCTCTGCCGCTGCCTCTACCGCTGCCGCTGCTGCCTCGCCAAGCATTCTGATTGGTGACGATGGCAATGATTACGCCAATGGCAAGCAGGAAGTGCCGTATGATCAGCCGCAATCGAATTTGTACATGGAGCGATACAAGCTTCATTTAGATAAAAACTGCAGCTCCATGGAGCTGGAGGCGCGACGCGAGAAGCAGCGCTGGCTCTTGATATCGGAATGCAGCGCCCGCTTCGGCGAGGGCAAGCACACGCGCGAAGCGTTTCGCAAACTCTTCCTCGATGAGGTACGATTCATCCATAGTTGCATTAATTACTCTTACCGTAGACGTCAAATATACATGCGATATATTATGTAAAGGGACTATACAAAGTGACTGTGTCTATATGGCAGATAAAGATAAATTACAGTGAAAGCTCTGATAACGAACCTCGACTTGCTGAAAGCCATTTTGCAGCTGTGAGATCATTCAAGTTTGCTGCAAAATTTACAGCAAGTGCTTTTTCTTGAAATCCTAGTTCGAAATGATATCAATTACTCACGAATTTTTCAAAGTAAACAAAAAATTGTGCAGCGAATAAAATTCAACAGAAAAGGAAAAGTGAAAAAAATTAAAAATTTTAGCTATATTTCAGTGATTGTGCACTGTTCTAAAAAAAAAATTTAAGTAAAGCAGAATTTGAAAAAATAAAAGACTTAACCAAACTGTTTGTTAAAAAAATTTAAAATTGTAAACTTGTACAAAAACAAAAACAAGCATTTTAAAAAAATTTATGAAATAATTATTATTTATATATAAAAAAAAATTAAAATCACAATAAAAATATATAAAAGTTGACAAACAATTATTCAAAACAAAATACCTTTTTTTAAATAATTAAAAAAAAATATATATATAAAACACAAAAATCTAAATAATTGTGAAGTCTAAGAAAACAATAAAAAAATTTATTTTTTATTAAAAATAAATTTTAAAAAATAAATAAAAATTTTTTTTAAATTTTAAATAAATAAAAAAAAATCAGATTTGTATTATAAAAAAAAAATTAATGTAAATTAGATATTTCTAAAATTGTTAAGGTTATATTGAAAAATTAATGTAAATTAGATATTTCTAAAATTGTTAAGGTTATATTGAAAAAGAGGAAATCTCTTAATATAAATTTAAAAAAAAATACTAATCTATAATTTGTATGCAAATTTGTATCAAAGCCTTTTAGTATAAGGATTTAGTATTCATTATTATTATTATTATTTTTTTTTTCTATGCTTTTTTGACTCAAATATAATTTTGTGGTATTTATAATTTAAAAAGTGAATATATTTAACTTTAAAACTTTATTGAATTAATAATTAATTCAAAAATTTTTAATGGCTTCATTTATTTTGTTCAAATATCTTTAAGCAAGTTTGGTGTCGCTTGATTCATGGTCAACAGTCCCTTTATTCTTATAGCTTAACTTTGAAAAAATTGCATATTAAAATAGTAAACACTGACAGACCCTCAGACCTACCTTAAGTTTGGATTAGGTGAACCAAAATATGACAAATGAAATTTGTTATTCGTAAATTGAAATATTTTCTGACGAGTTTTTCTTGAGTCTGGCACAACTTTATTTTTGGTTCAGAAAAAAACTGGAAGCGTAGGGTTTTTAGCTTCAGGCAGCTTTTACTGTGTGTATGTATGCATGAGTGTGTGTATGTGTGCATCGTATGTTTGTGTGTGTGTATTGACCTTGTGCTACATATTTTGTGGTCCTTTACCCGAAGCAAAAATTGAAACTCGTTTATTTTGTTGGTTTTTTGATTTATGCTGTTTTCTGTAGTAGCCCTCACTCTCTCTCCTCTCTCTCTCTCTCTGTCTCTCTCTTTCTCTCTCTCTCTCTCTCTCTCACTCTCTCTCTCTCTCTCTCTCTCTCTCTCTCTCTCTCTCTCTCTCTCTCTCTCTCTTTCTCTCTACTGTCTTATGAACTATAAGAAAGCTGTTGAACCAGTCTCCAGACTCAAGCATCAAGCTCATCTCTTAAATATGCACATTTTTTCAACGGGCTGGGCAGCTATCGCCCGATCAAACAAATATACATACATATATGAATGTATATATGTATATGCATATATACACATATGCAGTCACTAAGTATCGTGCCATTGAATGTCATTAAAATATATTAATAAGAATTTAATTAACGACAAAGCCATTCAATTATGTTCGCACTGCCCACAAAGGGGCATAAATCGAAGAAGTTTGTAAACAAATTCTCTAGAGTAAACAGCATCTGTCTATAAGCATATACTAGATAAATATACCTACATACATATATAAAAGAACAGCAAATGAGCAGGTTGTAAAGAAACTCAATTTATATGAACGTTAATTAATTGTTAAACAAACTCTAATATATATTTAGTAGTACTCTTCATATATATGTATATATATATTTGTTTATATATGTATATAAATTGAGTTTCTTTACAGATTTGCTCATTTGTGTTTCTTTCGCTTTGTTTTTCTTCTCTCTTCTCATAGGAATTTCAGCAGAAGCTCTTTCAGCTCTTCGATCTGGAACGAAATGGATATTTGCTACAAGATCGCTGGATCGAGCATCTCAAGGGACGACTAACGTGAGTATGGCACTTAACATATATTTAGCTACATATGTATGCGTGTGTGTGTGTGTGTGTTTGTTGCAGAGCAGGCTATATACCCTGTAAAGTGGTATAATGATTAAACGGGTATATATTTTAGAGTTAAGGGAAGGAACTTTAACACATATTTTATACTCTGTATATATTTGCAAGAGTGTATATAAGTGAAGAATATTTTTAAATTAGGGATTTTAGTAAAAATATAGATGTCAAATGGAAATAAATATGTACATTTCTTATAAGTAAAATTTGCATAACCTTTATTTATTTATATATATTTATTTGCATACCCTGTATTTATAATAAATTAAAAATATACCCACATAATATTTGATCTTCAGTCTCTGCTTTTCGTTAGCTGTTTACTTATATACATATATCATAATTTTATATACCATATAGATATACTATATATATAAATATAAATATTGCCAAGCAAATTTTGAGTTGGTTTCGATTAAGCTCGCCTGACCCAATTGTATTTTCCAGGGTATTCATGATTCGTTCACTCGGAACTAGATCAGATTTGCGATTTTTTTGTCAGCCATCTCATTTGCCTCTTTCAAAGCGGTGCCAAAACAATTAGCTCGATGCCACGCAAAAGAGCTGTCTCTCTTTCCACTCCTCACTGGCCTCGCCCCCCCGTCCACAATCCGCGATCGCAGCATGTCACACACGCACATACCATACCCATAGTTATAGCTGTAGCTGCAGCCTTAGCCAAACCCAGCCCGAGCCGAACCCAGCTGCCCTGCTCCAGCTACAGCTACAGCACCGTCCCCATCTCCATCTCCATCTCCATTTCCATTTCCAGCTTCGTTTGTGCTGGCATTCCAGCTGCGCTGCACTTGGCACGCCAACTGCCGCGGCGATGCCATCGCCGATGGTGATGCTATCTGTGTTGTATGTTAACATATACAACAGCTAACATAGTCCGCATGCCCGCTGCCAGCCCCTGACCCCCCCTCCATCCACGTCTGCGCTGGCAGCTCCGACTGTCACTGGCCCGCCTGTCGTAATGAAGTCATTCAGAATACAAATATAGCGTGTCGAGGGAGGCGATAGAGCAGCCAGGCTGGAAAGCTGGAAGGCTCGTAGCTGCAGCTGTGGCTGTAGCTGGCAGACCTGGCCTTGTTTAACTGCTGCACTGGGCAACCATGTCGAGGGAGGAAATAAAGAAGGAAGTTGGAAGCATGTCGAAGGGGAAGGGGAAGGAAACTTATATTAAAGGAGATAGGTGAAAAACTCTAACCAAAGCTCTAGCTCTAGCTCTCTAAAGTACAAGATCTTTTATCCTATTCGAGGATCTAGACTTCGAAGTTAGTCCAGCCTTGCCTGGAGAGAAGATAAAGAAGGCAACTGTAGGTGGGAAGACTGAGCTTGCTTTTTCGCTAGGCCAATAGCAAAGTTTAACTATTTATACTCTCTATACTCGATCTCTTACCTCACAGCGATGATCGTCAAATGGACTTTGCGGAGCAAATCGAGTCGGTGGCCTATGTCATCTGCGGCGAGAAGAGCCAAGTGAACTTCAAGAACTTTCGCGATATCTGGCATACGAGAGGTGTAAGTATTCGTCACAGTCCACATAAGAAAAGATCCTCACCTACTCGAGCTACTTGCAGATATTGGATAAGCTGTACCGCCTGATTGACATCGATGGCACCAATCTCATCTCAACGAACCAGGTCATGGAGTTTATATCACATCTAACAAACTCCAGGTAATATTGTGCAGAGATTATAAAACTAAAAGAGAGAGATAGAGTAAGTAAACTAATATACCATATTCTTACCATCTAGACCCCGCACAGGCTTCGACAAGAGCTCCCTGGCGCGCTTGGAGCAGCTCTTTCGCAACACTGTGGGCAATGAGCAGGAGATACGACGCGAGGAGTTCCAAAAGATTGTTACCTCCAAGAATGTAAGACACCTAATGCAGTAAACAGTCAGGCGAATGCAGATTAACGAATGTCCATTGCAGCCCTTCTTTACGGAGCGCGTGTTTCAAATATTCGACAAGGATAACTCTGGGTCCATATCGCTGCAGGAGTTCATAGATGCCATACATCAGTTCTCAGGACAATCGGCTGATGATAAGATAAGGTTTCTCTTCAAGGTCTACGACATAGATGGTGTGTGCAGTGGGAGGCCTACGATAATCCAGAACTAATTGGCATGATATACATATGTATTCCAGGTGATGGCCTCATACAGCACAAGGAGCTGCACGACGTGATACGGCATTGCATCAAGGAGAACGGCATGGAGTTCTCCGAGGACCAAATCGAGGATCTAACCAGCGCCATGTTCGAGGACGCCGATCCACATAACAGCGGCGAGATCACCTACGAGGCGCTCAAAAACCAACTGCACAAGCACGGCGGCCTGCTCGAGAATCTCAGCATTACGTAGATAGAGACTTTGCTCAATAATTACAATGATTATATGTATAAAATCTGCCCTACCTTGCAGCATTGATCGCTGGCTGGTGCCCATTGCGGAGGAGCCGCCGTCTAGCAGCAAGAGGTCGAGGCTCTGGCACACGATACCTCACCAGCTGACGCTGGCCTACATGAAGAACAACCAGGTGTTTGTCAGCTACCTCTTCTTCTACATCGCCGTCAATCTCTGCCTGTTCATCTCCCGTGCCATACAGTATCGCGCCAGCAATGGCTTCGTGATCATAGCCAGAGCTTGTGGTGAGTACAGCTGGAATTCATTGAGGTCCATTTGAATGCTTCCTGTGTAGAGATTGACTCTACCTTATCCATTCGCCGTAATCCAGCTTTCGTTTTTGGCCAGGTCAATGCCTCAACTTCAACTGCGCCTGGGTCTTGGTGCTGATGCTGCGGCACTCGCTGACCTACCTCCGTTCGCGTGGCCTGTCCTCCTTCCTGCCCCTGGACCACCATGTCTATCTGCACAAGCTGACGGGCATTACGATCGCGGTGCTGAGTCTGGTGCACACGATAATGCATCTGTTCAACTTCTCCATCATTGTGATCAACGATCCGCAGATAAACGCCGGGCATTACACGATAGGCGAATGGCTGTTGACCGATCGTCCCGGCCTGTTTGGCCTCATTCCGGGCTGTGCCAATCCCACCGGAGTTGCCCTGCTGGTGATACTGATTGTCATGTTCGTCTGCTCGCAGCCGTTCGTGCGGCGCAAGGGAAGCTTTGAGGTGTTCTACTGGACGCATCTGCTCTACGTGCCCTTCTGGATACTCACGCTCTTTCACGGGCCCAACTTCTGGAAGTGGTTCATGCTGCCCGGCCTGGTCTACATCGTGGAGCGCGTGCTGCGCTTCGTGTGGATGCGCGGAGAGCACGGCAAGACCTACATCAGCTCCGGCCTGCTGCTCCCCTCGAAGGTGATTCACTTGGTCATCAAGCGGCCCTTCAACTTCAACTTCCGGCCCGGCGACTACGTCTTCGTCAACATACCCGCCATTGCGAACTATGAGTGGCATCCGTTCACGATCAGCTCGGCCCCGGAGCAGGAGGACTACATGTGGCTCCACATACGCACCGTGGGCGAGTGGACGAATCGCCTCTACCGCTACTTCGAGAGGGAGCAGCAGAAGCTGCACAAAGGCGAAGTGAATACGCACATGCATGCGATTCCCACGCCCAGCTTCATGATGCTCAACGAGGCGCGCAATCCGGCGCTCGCCGAGATGTCTCGGCAGTCCAGCACGACGACGCCGCAGACGGACTTCCTGGCACGCAACATGGCCAGCAGGGGCGGCACTCCGGATGAGCAGCTGCCGCCGGCGCGTCCACCCAGGCAGCACCGCAAGGCAGCCGCCGCCGCTCCGCTCGAGGCTCCATCCACCACAACAGGCGTGAATCGCATACGAAGCATCAAGAAAACGCTGCAGCGCACCTTCTCCCGCAAGGAGTCGGAGCCGAAGAACTCGGGCATAGCCAATGGCGCCTTCACGGCTGAGACGGAGCGCGAGCAATCCAGGCGCAAGCAGCGGCCCCTAGAGAAGAGCATCTCGCTGCCGGACATTAGCATGAAGAGCAAGAAGCGCAGTCGGCTTAAGGCGTAAGTGTATAGGAAAAAGTAGCCCCCTCTCCCTCTCTCCCTCTGCCTAGGTAAGCAATAGAATCCTTGCCTGGACAGAGATCGTTTAGAGATGTCACTCTTCCTGCTACTGAACTCCCATAGTTTACCTAGACACAGAGTTCCCTCTCCTTACTGTAATCCTTTGCCCCTCTAATGCCAATCCTTTGCAGACTGCGCGCCCTGGGTCGCTCCGAGTCGGAGCGCGCCTTTGATGACCAGCGCCTGAGAAGTGCTCGGAACAATAGCGTAGGGCTGGCCTATTTGAGTCCGCAGAACAAGTCGCTGGCGCAGAGCTTCCGCTACATGCGCAACAAGCCCACCATCATTGCCTTCAAGACGCCCAGCCTGGAGCTGAGCGAGGCGCAGCAGGCAGCCGGAGCTGCCGAGAGCAATGGCAGCATGGAGGCCAACTCCGTGGAGCTGGGCCACGCAGCCCGGGCGGACAGTAGCACGGAGCAGCTGATGCGGCTCAGCCTGGGCGCAGAGCAGAAGCCGCTGGAGGTGGGCAGCAGTTGACCGACTAATCTTAATACTTAATACTTAAGACTAACTTACCTTATATTGCTTGCTCTCCAAGGATAACACAAACACGGGCAATCGAAAGTCACGCCTGCGTCGTCCCACATTTCTGCGCACGCTGTCCACCTCCATAACTAATCGGGGCGGAGGCGGAGGAGGAGGAGGAGGAGGTGGCGGCGGCGGCAGCACTACAACTAACAGCGGTAGCAAGGTCACACTCGATGCAGGCGTCATGGAGGTGCGAGTCATACACACACACACCTACACACACACACACACACACACACACGCGCTAGACTAACCCCAATCCCTGGCTAAACCCTTCTCCGTTACAGATCTTCATAGATGGCCCTTACGGCGCCCCTTCGAGCCACATCTTTGGCGCCCAGCATGCGGTGCTCATCGGCACTGGCATCGGGGTCACGCCCTTCGCCTCCATCCTGCAGTCCATCATGCACCGCTACTGGAAGGCGCGGCACAGCTGCCCGAGATGCCACTTCGAGTGGGCCAGCGAGATACCCAAGTCTGTGATGAATCTGCGCAAGGTGGACTTCTTCTGGATCAATCGGGACCAGCGCTCGTTCGAGTGGTTCGTCAATCTGCTCTCGCAGCTGGAGATAGAGCAGGCGGAGCTGGGCGGCGCCATGGAGCGGTAAGCATGCAAAGAGTCCAGCCCGAGTACAATATTAATGGATAATTTCTTCACTTCCTCTTCCCCGCTAGCTTTTTGGACATGCACATGTACATAACCAGCGCACTGCAGCGCACAGATATGAAGGCGGTTGGACTGCAGCTGGCGCTCGATCTGCTGCACGAGAAGGTAAGGGAGTTGTCCTCAGCCTGTAGAGCTATTATCCAATATCCACTCCACTCTTCCACTACAGGGCAAACGGGACCTGATTACGGGCCTCAAAACCCGCACCAATGCAGGCAGACCCAATTGGGACAAGGTCTTCAAGCAGCTCCAGGCACAGCAGAAGGGCAAGGTCACCGTCTTCTATTGCGGTCCGCCACAGCTGGCCAAGACGCTGCGCGTCAAGTGTGATCAATACGGATTCGCCTTTCGTAAGGAGTGCTTTTGAGTTCGCCAACAATCCTCATCCCCATTCCCAAGTCCATTTCCTATACCAAGCGAAGTCCCTATGCCTATTCCTATTGCCTTGTCCTTATCCAACTCCACTTTCCACTTTCATCTTCATCTTTAATTTCCTCTCCCTCCTCACCTCCCAACCTTTCTCAATACTCAACTCATGTTCATCTCAATTAGGTTTTGGGTTTGTTTACTATTTTTTCTATTTATTCGTCCATGTGTTTTGTTGCCTCATTCGCTATGCGTGTGTCCCAGCCTGTAAATATATCTCTTTATATACATACATATATCTGTATACGTAATTGCATTATAATAAAAAATTTGTTACTCTATATGTTGGTTAATGGCTGCGATTGGGCTATGGCTAGGCCGTATAGCTGTTGTTGTGTTGTCTTTCGGGATATGTTAAGCCTGATTATCAAAATTCTAAGTACAGTGATCGCTCGCTAAGGTGAACCAAATGGTGTCTGTTTACAGTTATGTTGTTGGCCCATTTTAGAAAAATATTTTACATAACTTTTCATAAATCTTTGGGATTAAATTCGAAATTCAATCAAGATAAGATATATGGCTTAAATTACAAACTCAATTACATTTAAAGAATATATATATCTCTAGATATATATACATGAAGTTTGCTTAACATTTATTAGTCAGATAATGCATTGTTGAATACCCTTTAGAAGGATATAGTCAGACCTAGATATTCACAAACAATTTATGCTTAAATACAATTATAGTTCGTACGAAAAATTCGTATGTCTCTCGGGCAGTTTAACATGCCGAGCGTTCACTGTACTGCACTCTACGCTGATGTGTTGTCCACTCCTTAGACTTAGCCTCTCCTAATCCGCATTGCTGAAGCAGTCTTAATGCACCTTTGCAGGTGGCTCCGAATTCTACATCTGAGACGAATTTCAAAGCAACTGGCTAGCTCTTAATTTCATCTAAGACACACACACACACTTCCACACAAACACTTCCACACACACACGCACTCACACCTAAATAAATGTATTAGCAACTACTCAATGCTTCAGCCAGGTGGTAAAATTAATATTGCTGGGCCTCGACTTGCGCTCGATGGTGATTATCTCATCGTCTATGTTGTCCACATTGTAGAATTCGCGCAGCTCTGCAATGGCCGTCTCCTCGATCTGGGTGTGCACGAGCGATTTGTTGCGCATGCGCTCGTAGCTGTCGCGCTGACGACGCTCATCGGCGAGGATCTGCGAGAAGCTGTTGCCGGCCTCTGGTGGGCTGGCTACCTGTCCGCCACGCATCATATTGGCAAAGGATGTGGGATCTGCACTGCTGCCCGTGGGAGCAGCTGCGGGAGAGCTGAAGGGCTCGGCATATGATGAATTCGGTGAGCTGGCCGTGACGCCCCAAGCATTGGGCACAGCGACAGGCGTGGAGCTATTCAGCTCCACTGGCGCCCGCCAGCTCTGCGACTCAGAGGAGAGACGTTTCCGTTGCTTCTGCGACAGCTTGGCCGACTGCGGCATTAAGGAACTTAGATCCAGATTGTAGCTCTTGCTCAAGGGCGTGCTGCACTCGGCTGAACTGCTGGCGGATTGCGGTGGTGGCGTTGCTTCCTTCGCGGGCATGGCACGTGGCGATATGGGCACAAGCTCCGGTGCGGGCTGCTCCTCCTGCTTCAGCACCTTGTTGAGCTTGACCGCTGTCTCGGCCTGTTTGCGCTTTTGCTCCTTTTTGTCCACGACGCGCGACCAATTTTTAGTCTCACTTGGCGCTGACTCGGGGGAGGTTGGTGTGGCTGCTGCTGCTGGTGCTGGTCCAGCTGTTTCACTTAGACTCAGCGAACGCATCATGCTGGATATTGCCTGCTGCTCATAATGGCGTGCATCCTGCTTGTTGTGCAACTCCTTTTGCTTTTGCTTCGTAGCTTCCTTTAGCTTGGCCTCCTAAGGAATATAAAGTGCTCAGGTTAGTTAGGGTTTTCATTTGGTTTGTACAAGACGAACCGCATCCATTCGATAATCCAGATCGACTTCGCAGCCGTCCACAAAGCTGAGCAGCATCTCATCTTCGATCGCTTCGGAAAACGGCGTGATCTGTCTGTAGTCGAAGACCGACTGAAACATCCTTCGATAGTGGTCATTGAGACGTTGCAGCGTATTCGGATCGCACTGCTCGATGCTGCGATAGCACAGTACGCGCGCCAGATTCTGGCAGATGAAATCGAGGCAGCCCTGCTGCAGCAGCTTGCAATTGTACATTGTGGCAAATTCGAGCATCTCGCCACACTTCCGAATGCTAATCTTATCCAGAATCAGGGACTCACAGACATTCTGCAGCGATTCAATGAAGTATTGATCACAGAGCGTTATCATATTATATAGAAACGTTTCCGTATAGTTTTGCTTGCAAAACGCCTCCGTGTCGAGGCTGTAGAGATAGTCCAGCACCGGCTCCAGATACTCAAAGGGCACGCCATCAAAGTGAACTGTGGTGCGCTCGGCCCACGAGTGCATGAACATCATTTCAAAGTATTCGAGACGGGCCACGAGGATGCATTTGTGAGCTTCTAGAACCTGATTATCCTCGCAGACAATGCGCACATCGTAGAGCTCTGGATATTGCGAACGCTGCAGACGATGGAAACGTAGCCGAGGCGGCATTGGGAACTGCTGCTCGGTGAGGTAGCTGGAGAAGATTCAGGGAATAAATGGAGTGTTAAGGTGTGACTCATGCTCACTCACTTGTTGACATATTTGGCCAGCTCATGGAGTTGAAACTTTTCCAGATGTGCATGAAACATTTCACAGACACGACTGCGCTGAGCAGGTTTGCTTGGACCCAAGCTCTGCTGCATGCAGTCAATGTCTGAAAAGGGAAGGTGGGTTAGTAAGATCAGCTTATAATATTCCTAGGCCTACTTACCCTCCTCTGTGGGCCAATAGTTTGTGTAGATATGCTTCAGCACCAGCTCAAACATTTTGCCAGTTAAATTCTCAAAATTTAAATAGATATCCTTATCCAAATAATTGCGAATTAGTTCTCTCAAGCCCGGAGCGCGTCCAAAGATGATAAACTTATGCGCCGCATAGCGCTCGCCATCCACATGGAAGACTAAATCATGCACAGCGTCCGCTTCGCTCGTGTCATGGTAGAGCTTCTTGAAGCTGTGCTCGCGTCGTGGCAACGCGGGCTTTCGAAAGTATTTGAAATGCGATTCTTGCAGCACAGCAAACGAGGCGAAGCTCTCGTCGCACACAATGTCCACAACACGATCCACATTTGGCACACGCTGCAAATCGATGCGAATGTAATGTTCCCTAGAGATCTCTGTGCGATGCTGATCGTTGTTTTGCCATATATCCAAATTGGGCTTCGATTTCTCTTGAGAGATGGCGGGCAAGACTAGCTGATGGCATTTGCCACGATAAACGCAGCCATCCATCGAGAGCAGCAGCACCTGATTGCATTTGTACAAGATGCGCTTGATTTGTGGCATGCGAACAGGAGAGAAGACGCATCTGAAAAAGGCAACTTGATTAGCGATTGCGGAGCGAAAGTCGGTTATAGTATAATTGCCTGTAGAACTGTTGCGTATTCTCGTACCAAAGAAAAACCACGTTCGTTTCAGTTAGCATCAACAGCTTCAGGGCAGCAGCAGAGCCCTTGGTGGAGTTCTTTATGTGGCCGCCCATAACAGAGATGCTCTTTAAGTGCTCGTAGCTGTAAGGGAGCAGTAGTTAAGGGTGATTAAGATATAACACTTTATGCCTCTACTTGGGAGTCTTAATGGTCCTAGGCTTGTCCATATAGAAGAGCAGTATCAACTTCTCCTCGGTGTAGACAACAGTCGCGGCATTGTTCGCCTCCACGAAGCGTATGCAGGTGCGATCCGCTAGCTTTAACTGAAAGGTAAACGAGAATACTTTAGATACGTTGAGCAAGTCTCTTGGGTTCACTTACCAGTGTGGGAGCTGCAATGGTTTTCGTATTGGCGCTAATGCCAAACTGCCCCTGATTGGCGCCCCAGACATAGACGGCCTTCGAGCTATACGCAATCGAGTGCTGATCACAGGCAATGACACGCAGCAGCTGACTCGCGCCCTTATCCCTCAGAGCCACTACCTCTTTGAATGTGGTTAAATAGTCCCCGGCATCCCTGACGCCCAGCTGCTGTTGGTCATTCAAGCCGCAGGCGAAGACCAACGAGCGATTGGTTAGGAGCAACGAGTGCTGGCGCGAGACGCTGATGCCTATTATGCGCTCCTCGTTGTGTTTGAGTGGCACTTTGACACGTTTGGGCGCAGGCAGACTATTCTCCACACCAATACCCAAGCGGCCGCCCTTGCCATGCCCCACTGCATAGAGATGTCCGCGCTTATCCAGAAAGAGACTGTGAAAGGGTCCCAGAGCCACTTGCTCCAGCCAAAGATTCGACTTGCGAAAGAAATCCAGCGATTGTGGCGTCAGTGTGTTCTGCTCGTTGCCAATGCCCAGATTATAGTTTCTATTCGAGCCCCAAACGAGCGCCTCGTTTCTGGAAAGGATCACGGATTAGGGCTTACGGTAACGACAACTGGTTTGGCTACTTACTGCGACTCAACCTGCTGCTCTTGGTCGCATTTGCGGCATATGGCCTGCAGCGGACAACGTGTATCCTCATCCAGCACTTCCAAGCTACCACCGTAACGCAGCAATAATACGGCGCAATCGATGGAGCCGTAAAATAAAGCTCTATGCAGTGGCGAAAAGCCCGATTCCCAATCCCGCTCGTTAACAAATGCACCCTGATTCAGTAGCCATTCCAGTATCCTATATCTGGCGACGGAAGCACACATATGTACGGCGGTGCGACCCAAATAGTCCGGAATATTGCAAAAGTTTGCACAAGTTTTGGCAATAAAAGTCGCCAACTTTTGATCATCGATGGAGCGTTTAGTGAGTGCCGCAGTAATGCAGTTGCCATGCTGTCGCTGACGGCACTTGGCGGTGCAATCATACTCGTGGTTTCTTAACGCAGACATGCGTAAATGATTGTGATTAATTAATTGTAAATGCCGCAACGAAATTGCACTTTTCACTTCAAAGTTTGTTGTTTTGGTTTGCACACGGACTCGGAACTAGTGGCAAAGGAACAAAAATTCACGTCAGTAATGCTAGCAATTACAAACCAAATATAGTTTTACCATTACTAATAAAGCTAAAAGGATAAATAAAAACTAAAAGCTTCATTTTATTAGCATATTATTAACACAATATTGTGAAATTAAATAAACGCCCAAGTGAACGCCGGCTCGGTTCCCAAGCGCTAAAAATACTATCAGTTGGTATTTTCTTCTATTCCGCATACGTCCACACTATGCACTCCACTTGAAGTAGTAGTTGTTGCGTGCACGGCGTATAGATAGAAGCTACGCGCACCTTGCTACGTAAGTTAAAAAGTGTTAATTTATTGATAATGGAAAACGTAGTCGCAGTATTATGTAAATCGAAATACAACAAATTATAAATAATAAACATATATCGTAACATATGGAAGTGACTGCAGTGGCAGCATAACTGGTGAAATAGTGTAATCTACTATGTGTGTGCATTAGTGATGTGCATGTGTGTGCAGGAGGTGCTACAAACGGGAAATAAATTGAGTTTAAGTTTGAGTCATAAGCCAGGCAGAGAACGCGTCATGTCTGTGGTATCAAAATACGTTGAATTGTGTGTTGTCATAGGCATCAATTTGGTTAATTCAATTAGTATGCATAACAACAATAAACAATTTATCAGCTACTCATACGTTAACTGTATGTACTCAGTGTATGGGAACTGATAATCTGTGTGTGAGTGTGTTAGTGTGTGTATTAGTGTTGGTGCAGCTCGCCTTTATTAATTAATTAATTATTTGACCTAAGCGGTCACTCAATGTGCGCGTTAAAGCTGAAGAATTGTTTAAAGTTCTATATATACCTAGACGTATACACTTGCAAACGTACTTTAAGAAAATGGAATAGTTCAAAAAAGTGAATAAGTTCATGTGCACGTAATACTTGTTTACATACATATGTACATACATGCATGCCTACATAAATATGCTGCCAGTGCATGAGTATGTGCTGGCTCGTGCGTGTGTGTGTGTGTGAGAGAGGGAGAGACCAACAAAGTTTCTCTCGGTAGCTGCTGCTCATTTCGTATTAATTTCTTTTTATTTACTTTTAGTTCACACAGATCAGGTTTTCCAGTCATCAAGTGCCTGTCCTCGCTGCAGCTGCATTACATTACATTTCTTCGTCTCCCTTTTAAGCATATTATTCTAAGGTGCGAAAGAGAACAAGTGTTTGCCTGGCTGCCTGAGTGCCTGACTGGACAGGTTAAATGCGAGAACGCAACCCCCGGAAATGCCAATAGAAAAAAGTCGACCATAAGCAGAAGCAGATAAGAAGCGCCTGCATAAAGAAAGCAGCGATCAACAAAAAACTAAGAAACAAAACAACATAAAAGAACCAGCGCTGAGAGTTGTGTGCTGTGTGTTTGTGTGTGTGTGAGCGAGTTGAACTAAATCAATGCAGCTTTCTGCACTGGAACTGCAGATAATACACACACACATACAGATACCCCAACACACACACATGCACATAATCTTTGGCACAAATTGAATGAATGGAATAATTATGTTGTGATGGGCTCGTGCTCGTGTACACGGCGACACTTTCTGCTGTCAACATGCTTCCTGCAAATGGTAAGTGTGTGTGTGTGTGTGTGAGAGTACCATATGGCTGACCCTAATTTTATTTCATTTCCCTACTTTTTATGGGCATACAAACAATGCTTGATATCTGTTCTGAATTGCCAAACAATCGACAGATAACGATTATCGAACGCCAGGTATTCGACTTTCTCGGATACATGTGGGCGCCCATATTGGTCAACTTTTTTCAAATATTATTCATCATATTTGGCTTCTACGGTGCATATCATTTTAGAATCAAGTACATTATAACCGTAAGTACCCAAACCCTCCAGGCCCAAGCGGCCAGAGATAACAAACTATTTGATGATAACCCAAATTTGTGTTCACAGTATTTATTATGGAACTTTGTGTGGATCGGTTGGAATGCGTTTTTAATATGCTTCTATTTGAATGTCGGCAGCCTGGATAAGGTAAGCCAATTGAGGTCAAAACACAAATAACATGTGGGAAATAGGGTTTAGCCTGATAAAACATTGTATATATAGAACGAACAGAGCTTTGCTTTTATGAGGCAGCGAATTGTATTTTAAATGATTTTATTTACGCTGAGTTAACAGCTTTAGAACTTCTTGTAGCTGATTAATGGAATCTATTCATATATGTGTTTGTTGTGGGGTTGTTTTGTAGTACTTTTTGACTACTTTATATATAGTTGTTTATCGAGACAATCTATTAACTGCTTTCGTTTGGTTTTACAGGATGGCGATTTGCTTAACATGGGCACTGGTAGCGTCTCCTGGTTCGAGGCGAATGGTTACGGCTGTAAGCCCACCTATAACATTACCTCGGATGATCCGTTTCGACCTTTGAGGCCGGAGCGTGTTGAGGATTGTCTGTTGGACTATACGCTCGTTGAGGTCATCCATTCGGGTGTACAATGCGCGCTGGCGGTGAGCAAACTACATATATATATATATATATATATATATATATGTGCACACACTCATATACATACATATATGTATATATTAATCAATTTTAAGTGCTACGAATTGTCATCAATTGTCTGACTCTATCTCTCTCCCCCTCTTTGTTTAGCTGCTGGGCATACTTGGTGCGATTCTAATCAGCTGCATATTTCTCGATGAGGACGACAGATGTAAGTTGCTGCAAAGCTCGACAAATTTCAAGCACATTCATCTATCTATATAAATAAATATTGTCTAAAAGTGAAGCACTCCTTGGTAATTGGTCTCTAACAATTTGTAGTTTTGTCTTTTGATTTAACCAACTTTTTGTGTATATATATTTATATTTTTTTAATAATTTCCCAAAGCTCCCCGAAAGAAATTAAGCTGAATGTTTATGTACGCAAAGACTGATGTGTTTATATCTATAATTGTTAAACTATATATTTATTTATAAACAAAACAGAACGAAGTGAACTGTGTAATGTTATATGAATTTCAATGCTTTGATATATACAGAAAAAAGAATACCTGCCCGGAATGTGTTCCTCTAATTTTTTTGTTTTTGATTAACCAAGCGAAATGTTTATAAAATGAATGTGAAAAAAAAACAAATGTTATGCATACCAGAAACAATCATATGCCACATATATATATATACTCTATACATTTATATCATATATCATATATATCATATCCTTTATAAATATGCTCGTAAACGTTATCTATGTTATACTTATGTCATGAGTCCAATGAGAAGAGCTAAAAATTTATGATTGTTATTTAATTATTGTTAATTGCTTTTGCTGTTTAATCGCACACACACACATAATACACATTTGATTTGTATTTTATTTATAATGTTAAAGCATCTTAAACAATTTCTGGTTTACAGTCGATTTCATGAACGGCGATGCGAAGAGTCCACAGCACACCGTCGTCCATCCAATGTACGTGAGCTATACAAGTATACCAACAACGTCTGCAAGCGCAACCATGCAATCAAATAAGCATATGCAGCAGCAGCAGCAACAACAACAGCAGCAGCAGCAGCAGCAACAGCAGCAGCAATACTCACTGCAATTCCATCATCAACACAGACACAAATCGAGCAACAACAACAACAACAATAGCAACAACAGCAGCTACAATAATACACTCAGCAATGTTCATCAACAGCCACAAGCACAGCAAGCAAATAACCTTAATGCATACCAACCACATTTAACCCACACAAGTGGCAACAACAACAGCAACAGCTACAACAGCGGCAGCAAGAACACTCGCAGCAGGTCGCTGCAGCAGCAGCCACAGTTGAGCCACATTGAGAGCCAAAACAAAGAGCAACCGCAGCGCAAGCGCCTCTATCAAAGCAAATCACCGGCTTTAAACTCAGTCAGTCCCATGTCCCTGTCCATGTCCATGTCCATGTCGCCGCAGACCACCTCCTCGCTCTCGTATGCCTCGCTGCAGAACTCGAATCCCCAGCTGAGCAACAGCAACTATAGCATTTGCAACGATACGTCCAGTGGACACTTTGCACGCATCCATCATAAGCCGAAGGCTCCCAAGTCCCTGCCCGACATCAAATATGCCCAGGTGGCTCTAGCCCGACTTTCGCGCAATTTGGAAGAGGATGAGGATAGCTTCTCGCTGCACAATCTGTCGCCCAATGGCGACAATGGCGTTACCTATGTGCCCTTCCAGAGTCCCACACCCAATAGCCTGTTTGTTGAGAACAATAATGTGGGCACGCCGCACATTGCCTTCAGCTCCCATCCCGAGCAGGCCAATAACAACAACAACAACAACAATAATCATTATCCATATGAACAGCATGGCTTGCCTTTGCCATTGTCTTTACCCACTATTTCGAGCTATAAGCAACTGCCACGCCCCACACAGATACCACTGCCCACAGTGCCCATACACAGCTGCCATGTCGAGGCTGATCCGGAATCGGAACTAACCCTGTCGCCGCCTCCTCCTCCCGTGCCGCGGCCGCACATCTTTCAGCCACGTCTGGGTCAAGCACCCTATCCCGATCTCTCGCCCGAAATAGCCGAAAAATATGCCATGCCCACACAGCATGTGCCCAGTGGCTCGCCCATGGTGCGTCGCAGTCAGCGTCGCCCGCGTCCACACCCAGCTCCGGCCAATTTCTGTGATCAGATCCGAGACACGCCTCCCGGCTACATGTTGCGCGCCCACAGCGAAGACCGATTGGAGGAGCAGCCGATGCCGGCTCAGTCCCAATCCCAATCGCAGTCGCAGTCGCCATCTCAGTCGGCACCGCATGTCAATCGACGCAGCGGACGCAAAGCTCGCCCGCGCTCCTTTTGCAATTCCATTGTGGGCGCCCAAGCCTAAAGGCCCTTCACACACAGATCCTCATTTAGCTGCATTCCTTTTGACCAAATCTGATAGACTTTTAGAGATTATAATCCAACCGAAGCTCCAGTTGTCTCTCTCGCTCTCACGCTCTCTCTTTGACTCACGTATGTTCAGCTCCTTTAGTATCTCTATATAACCATCTCTCTCTCTCTCTCTCTCACACACACTCTGATATATATTATAAATCTGTACTGCGGGTGCTGGGCGTGATTTGCCGCTTGTGTCTCATGTGTTTGTCCATACTAACTAACTGTATATTACGATTTAGTATGTGTTGTCATCCATTTTTGTTGTGGCTAACAGAGTTTAATCTTAATACAAGCTACGAGCACGAGGACCTAGGAACACTATAGTTAGAGATAGTTTATAAAGTGCTGGCTTTGAGTGCAATGCAAGAGAATGGTTTCGATTTCCCCCAAACAAAACAAAACTGAACGACTAAACTGTTCCCAGTTACAGTTTAACCTAAAAAAAGCGTTAGGCAAAAGCATATACTGAGCTGTGCTCATTTGAACGAACTGTTCCCAGTCTCAATTGATGAGTGGGAACAGTTATAGGCGACTGTTTACAGTTGTTAACTACATATATTATGCTGTTCCCAGCTAGGAACAACTTTAGTTAGCTCTACTCTAAAGAATTACTCTCGACTTTTTACTGTGCAGCTGTTCGCACTTGCAGCCATATAAAAGTAATTTACTAATCTGTACCCAATTGTTGTCTGTTTATATGATGTTGTTCACAGTTCGAATTTCAGTTTGAATATAGACTATATTATAGAATCAGAGTAATACTAAACTAAAACGAAACCTAAATCGAAAATGTTGCAATAATTAAGAGTGTTCCCAGGAACAGCTGTCTACATATACCGTGCAAGTGCAATGCCAACTGTTCCAACTGCAGCTCAAGCAGAATCGTTGCAATTTTATACACTTAAAGAAATTTAGTCTAGCAAAATTTTATTAACAAAGTTAAAAGAATTTGTTGCGTCTAGATTTGCCTTGCAAAGCACTTGAAGTGGATAAAAAATAACTAGATTTAAGCTAAATATTGGATGCCTTGATAGTCATTCGCTGAATTATGTGACAAACACACAAGAAATACATACATACAGACAGACATACATACACACATACATACGCGCTCTCATTCATATGAGACTTTCCATAATGGCTGCAAACAACATTATGAAATGTGATAGAAAATGTTACAAAAAAAAAACGATAAAAACAAAAACTGAAACGATACGAAACGAAACGAAATGAAACGAAAAACTATAAACTGGGATGGGAACTAAATGGGAAGAGAAACGTAACGCTAAGCGGAAAGTCCAAATGCCTTCATAATTTTATGTTCAACTGTGATACTACATAACGATAACAAATTATTAAAACAAACACACAAACAAATGTCACACAAAAGTTGTTAAAAAAAAAAAAAATAAATTCAAATCAAAATATTTCAATTTGCCAATGCAACCAAAATGCCTTTAAGACGAAAGAAAACTTTTTGTTGAGAAATATAAAAGAAAGAAAAATGAAATTCAAGAAAAATTGAAGCGAGATTCGTTATATAGATTTATCTCTATACATATATATATATATATCAATTGTTAAGACTAGTTATTAAGCTTTACACAAGAGAAATTCGCTAATTAGTTAATAGGCAGAACGATCGATCTATATAGTATATATATAAATATATATGTATGTAGTTCTACTTATAGAGTCTATATAGTTCTACGAGCTGATTGCGTGCCAATATATATTCTGCAAAGCGTTTAACCCTCTAAACAAAAATATTAATAATAATAAATGTTCATTTACACAAAATGTTTTTTGGCTTTTTGATATCGATATCGATAGTTATCGACTATATATAATCTGGTTAACTGGCTTCATGTAGCTGCTATCCTCTAACTGTATCTCACTCTCCCTCTCTCTCTCTCTCTCTCTCTCTCTCGTAGCTAATCCTGTATACATTTTAATCACACAAAACACACCAAAAACCAAAATCAATATCTAACAATGCTCAGGTAACTGCTGTTAACTTGGCTAGCTATATCTGCCTCAGAGTACAATTGATCGATTGTTGCACTAATTTGTTGTATTTCGTCATCTACAGTGAGGCACATTAGCAAGCAGTCGAAGCATCGCCAGTCGCTGTACTCCATCGATATAAGCGATACGATACGGCATCGAGGCGACGTGATGCTGGGCTTTGGCGATCCACACGATCAGGATCTGGACCAGGATGGCGGCGAGCTGAGTCCCAAGCCCATGACGCCGCGTCGCGTTAAGCGGCGCTCGGTCATGGCGCGCGGCTCGCATGGCAGGCAATCGAGTGGAGCTGGAGGCAGCGGCAGCAGCAGCACGCGACGCTCGCATCATGGCTCCAGCAGCACATTGAGATCGAAGCATGGGCATGGGCATGGGGACAGCAGCAGTGGCAGCTATGTGCGGAGCAGCACGCGTAGCTCGCGGCGCAAGTATCAACAGAATCCGGTGACCAAGCTGCTGGATCAGCAGCAACAGTTGCAGCTGCAACAGCAACAACAACAGCAGCAGCAGCAGTTGCAACTGCAGCAGCAACATCAGCAGCAGCAGCTGCAGCAGCCACAGCTGGGCTCATTTCATCGTCAGCGCTCGTTGACAGCTTCCAATCTGCAGAGCCTCAATGCGGACATCGCCGGCAACAGGAACAGCAGCAGCAACATCAGCAACAGCAACATCAACATCAACAACATTATGAGCAACAGCAACTTGTATCACAGCTATCGCAAGAATATACCACTCGATCCCATTTACTATAATACAAATGGGCAGGGCATGTTGTTGGAGCAGCAGGCGTCGCCGCCGCTGCCGCCGCCGCCGCCACCACCGGCGCCACTGGGCGGTGGCCATTATAATCCCAGCTACCAGCACTCGACCACGCAGCTCAACGACGTTGGCCACGCCAGCGATGAGCTGTACAACAACCGTCCGCCCTCTGTGCGCTCCAGCTACTCAAATTTCCATGGCTCACGCCCACTCTCCACCGCCTACAACAATGCGGAGAATGTTTTTGTGGGTCTGAGCGGTGCCAGCGCCAGTCCGCCACAGCCGCCCTGCACGCCGCCACTGTACCAGCAGCATCCGCTACACCAACAGCAGCAGCAACAACAACAACAACAACAATATCTGCCGCCTCCTGTGCCAGAGCCAGCGCCAGCTTACGTCAGTGCCCAGTCGCACATGAACTTCTCAAAGCGCACTGCCTCCAGAGAGAGCATACGCTCCATGGCCTTCCTGAACAATGGACCGCCTGCCTATAATCTTAACTATCATACGCCGCCCGACTCCGAGACAACCATGTGAAGGACCAGTAACTAATATTTATAGCTAGCATATGAATCGTTCACTAACTAATGAATCAAAAAGTAATAACTATTGTCCGAGTCATCCTATAACGATCATAAGAAAATATCATTCATTAACTTAAAGCTATCATTTGGATCGTGGATAAAAACCACTTGAATCACTCACGAATCATTTGATAACCTATTCACATCATTCAAAAACTTCTTTATAATGCTTCCATACGGTAGGAACATTCAATAACTCGGAGATATCAAATTGAATCATTTGAATTCCAAGGTATGAATCTTTCAATGACTTATTGACATCACATGAACCATTAATAAGTTATCGAATGTTCATATGAGCTCATTCAATCACATCTACATCAAAGATCTCGATTGACTCGAATCGAACACTATTTATATCGCTATAAATATATACAAAGTTAACTGTAAACAATTCGCCTACAAATTACATGATAACTGTTTACTTATATCTTATATAATTATCTATAAATGTATTTAACTCTAAATCTAAATTAGATTTTAAGCTTCTTTCGTTTTACCAAAGTGCCTTTGTATATACATACATATATAGAAAAACAACAACAAATAAACGATTCTTTTGTATGTCAGATCTCAGTATTATGAATTTAGATAAGAGCGTAGATTATGTTGGATAGATGATGAGATATTGGAAACTAATCTTCATATTTCTATTCGTCAGCACATAGAGAATATGTATGGCTTTTATATTGATTTTGGTGTGTTTTCAGATAGTGAGAGATATGAGAATTGAGATAGATATATAGAAAATAATTGACATTTATATGACATTGAACTTACGCTTCTTCTTTTTGACAGTAAGGCAATGCAGATATGGTTAGATATAGATATATATACTGAAAAATATACATATATATTTATAGGTATGGATATAGACATAGATAGAGATATGTGTAGAGGCATAGACATCGATTATAACTGAAGAAACTTGACTCATATGTATATACCATTCGCTTATCAGTAAGAATGCATAGATAGTTTGTAGCTCGTGCCATAGAAACTGTAGACCCGATAAAAAGCCTGATATTTATTTATAGACTTTTAGGCATTGATGTGAGATTGGTATAATCCTGCTGTTATTCGTTGCGGCAGACTAGAAGTAAGAGATGATCGAAAAGTATGGTAATAGCTATAGGTATATACATTCTTCAGTTTGTACTACTCACACTCGTCTGCTTCCCAGCCCGGCTCCAATTCGAGTTGCATATTCCGTTCCTTCAGCCAGGTGAAAAGCGGGGCAAAGTATTCCAAGATGCCACGCCCACTCAGCTTGCGTTCACCTGTGGCTATAAACATGACGTCGCGCCAATGCTTAGTGGCGCCCAACTTCATCATTTCCCTATGCAAATAAAATTATAGGGCATACGGCATATAGAACTAAGCTGAGCAGCTATACGTACCGCATCAAGTCACCCGCCTCAGTGCTTTTGTGAAAATCGCAGTTGTGCAGCGGAAAGTTGGGATCTCCGGGCTTATACTGTTGGCTAGCTATGCAAAAGGAGCGATAAAACTGGAAGCCAAGCACCTCTGCCATGAATTTTCTGGGAAGGAAAAGAGAAGACGCTATAAGGCAAGATAGGCAAAATACGAATATATGGCCTATTTGAAAAGACTAGAGGGTTGTATGACAGAAGAAGAACTGAACAGATTGTAAAAAAACCAGGACTACTATTTAAGAAAAGAAAGATTGTTTAGACTAAGAAATAAGGAAGACTATGAAGAGTTTATAAGACATTCTGTATCAGCATTCCTCTTCCCCTTTCGCTCACCTTGTACTGGATTTGTCTGGCTGTAGACCACGATAAAACTTATAGTCCAAATCGAAGTCCTTAGCAGTACGCCAATCGGGAGGCTGCACGCCCGCAAACTTATCCTGCAGACGCCAATAGGCGCAGTTGTAGTCCTGTACGCCAATGCGACCGTCCATGACATCCACAAGGAATTTATCGTTGATGAAATACTGCGGCACAGCCAAGAGCGTGTGTACGCCCATACGAAAGAGTCGATTCAGCGATTGATTCTCCGTTAGGCTTTCATTCAACAGGATGTGCAGGCGGTGCAGATGACGCGGCGTGCCCGAGGCCAGCACCGCAGTCTCGCCGAGCGCGGCAGCAAAGCCCGGACAGGGCTCCGTATCTAAGCCAAACGGTAGCTCACGCTTGTAGATATTGTACTGCAGCTCGGCCATGGTGCCATGGATTTGCATCAGCTTCTTGTAGTTGGGCTTGGGACAATAGCGCATCGCGACATCTGGCGGAAAGTAATAGACTTGGGACTTGCAATCCGAACCGCCCTCATCATCATTCATGCGCCGCAAGAAGCGCTCATAGAAGTTGCTGTAAGGGAAACGAGTTTAGATGGACCTACTAAGAGGGTTACGCTAAATCTCACCTGGACATGTGATTGAGACCCAGCGACTCGAAGAACTCGGCTGCCTTGATGTTAATCTTGACAGGTGTGACGAGCACCTCCTCCAGACGATGATGCACTGAGGGCAACTGATCCTTGGGATAGGGCGTGCGAAAGATCTGGTGCGAGTACCAGGCCTGCGACAGCATTTGGTCGAAAACGGGCGCTGAGATGGCGCCGTCATCTTTGAAATTGGCCTTGGGGTAGGCCAGCATAGCCGAGTGCCTCAAATAGGCGTGCATCTCTCTATAGAGCGGCATTATCTCCCAGATAACTAAGCAGTGGGTTAGATATATTAATTCAGTTTATCTATATATATAGCTGAACTACCGCTAATAAGTAATATTTGATTTTAAGTTTCCATTTCTCTTACCCTCCTCCATTTCCGCCTGGAAGTTCTCCGTATCGTAATGCAAATACCAAGTTCTGGACGGCGTCACATGCCCATTGTAGGTGGCAGCGATGCGCAGGAGGCGCACATAGTCGATGAACGTCGACCTGGCCGTATCCTTGTCATTGATGGCTCTGCGCCAGCGGTACCAGTTCAGCTTCAGATCGTCGTACACCTTCGTGTGCATATTCAGATTGTAGAGCTGCGGGTACATGGCCAACGGCCGGCGCGCCTGGCAATCGTCATTGGCATTGGGGCAGACCAGGGGGCCGCTGATGAAATTCTGCATGGTTCTCAGCAGATCCTTGGCCTGTTCATAGTCGTCGGGCCGCAGACCGTGCAGCTGGAGCTTGGCCAGGCGTTGAACGCGACGACGCAGCAGCGGATCGCGCAGCTGCTCCACGGGCACCACGCTCAGATTGGCCGCCAGCTCGTGGAGCAGTTTGTAGGTCTCCGTTTCCACTTCCTGCTTGCTGGGCGCCTGCACACCCAGCGGCGACTTACCCTTCGAGGTGAGCTGCAGAAAGATGCGTCGGCGCATATCCCAAATGACGCGCATACGCTGCGTGGCCACATCGAGTATACGCTGCGTCGACGCCTCATATTGACTTGAATGATTCGAAGTGGGCGTGGCAGCAGCCAGAGCAACCGCCAGGAGCAGGAGTGGCAGCAGCTTCTGCCAGAGCATGGCTGGGCGGGGTATTTTCGGGGCCTTGAGTAGAGCTGCCCTGCTTCAAGCTTATTTCCTGCCGATAAATCAACTCAATTCGTCTGCGGCTTATCAGTTATGTTTTTCTCTCGTTCGGGGTTTATTCACGGCTTCCAGATCTTCTAAAGCTGCGAGCTGTACGAGCTCCAGTTGCGCACTGAGCGAGTGATTTGAATATGTGTATTCCTATAAGGGCGTAAGACAAACAAGCGAGAGGGTTGCTAAAGAAGTTGGCATATATGTGTGTAGTTCGTATGCGTTTAAAAATTAATAAAAATTATTGAATCAAATATATATTTGTATGTTTTTTTTATTAAATCAGCAATAATTTTAATAAATAAATCTGATTTTTTTCATTTACCACAACATTTATTACTGCCCACTCTTTACAATAATCTTGAGCAACATTTCTTATCAGTTTCGAGCTCAGCTGGCATCCAGAAAGCGCCGATTGCCTTGACATATAGCGTGCGAAACCTTCAGATCTAATTTGAATATATGAGAATTGGGGAGGAAAACGCAATCCAAACAAACATTTTATATGAACTTGAGCTGCATTTGCTGTATTGTGTATGAAGGCAAGCATAGAAATGTAGAAATAGGCGCACTTCAGCAAAAGAAACACAATTACGATATTCATGAGCCTAGTTGAATTCATGAGAATCGAGGAGGAGAGCACCAACTAAGAAAAACGTTTCATTTCAGGCATACTTTGTCTGTTTTCCGATTGGCTATCACAGAACACACGTGCTCAAGCACACCCACACACATCTACACGAACACACACACACACACACTTCTCTTTCACACTCAGACAGACCTAAATTTAAATAAATTTCTATTTAAATAATGAATAAAACGTTATTTATACGCTCTGCTGCAATTGCATTGAGAAGTCGCTGCCAAACACTTCACCTTTCTCTCTCTCTCTTGCCTTTCTCTCTATCTCTCTCGCTCTCGCCATCTCACCATCTGGCGTCTCTCAAGGCCGAAAATGAAATGAAGTATACGCCATGTGGCACACACCGGTTAAGAATTACAGTTAACTTGGCTTTCGATTGAATGGCGAGCGAAGCGCTGGCGTCGCAGCATCCAATTCATCTTTTGTTAGTCAGTGGCCCATATTTGGGGCTTAATAATTTTGACGTTTTTAGACAGCGGCCTGCGGTGCAGCAGCAGCAACAGCAGCAGCAGCAGTAGCAGCAGAGGCAGCAACAACGCCAGCACGAAGCCAGAATAGTGGGAAATTCGTCATGCCCAGCAGCGCATTTGTTTATGCCGGCAGGAGTAAAAGAAAAGAAGTAAACTGTGCCAAATCGACGCTGGCAATGACGAGTTTGGCCGAGTCCAAGCCACGTTTTGGTCTTCTTCGACTGTTTAGCCTGGTTGGTCGGTTACTTCTGACATTTTGGCCAAAACATACGCCGTGGGTCGCTGCGACACGCACATGGCACACGCCACTGGCACAGAGAGCGAGAGGGAGAGAGCGAGAGAGCGAACGCGAAGAGAGCGCGCGTGTCCTGGCATGTGCGCAATAGGGGGAAATTTCTTTGGTACTTAATCGTCTGGTTGCTCTGCAGATTACGTCAAACGGAAAGGAAAACCCGTTTGCTCGCAGTCAGTCACCAACGAACCTTAGAACCGAGCAGTCGCCATTGCAATGCACGCGTCCGTAGTGCGAGCCACACAAATACAAAGGAACAAATAAAATAATACAAAAAAAAAGAAAAAAACAAAAAAAAATCGTATATATATATATATATACATATATAAGAAAAGACAGCACACTGACACACACACACACACAGACTGAGGGACAAACACACACGTACACACTCCTACCCACACACTCACACACACACACACACTTAGCGAGTCTGAGAAACAGAGATTTACAAGTGCAAGCAGCGAAAAAGTCTTCTGCGCCCAAAAATAGAGTGAAATGTGCATATTGTTGTTGTTGTAAAGCAGGATATAACGGAAACTAACCTACATTTTCGCGCTCTTTCGCACGCTTTCGCACAAGCCAAGACCAAACTAACACATACACAGCAACGAACGAACGAACGAACAAACACGCACGCACACACATACAGTAACTGTGACGCCTGTGCTGTTGCGCGCTCGCTCGCACGCGCTTCAAACCAGAAAAAGAAATCAACAGTAAATTGTAATAACACTTCTCGGCTTAAGGTGTGTGCGTGCAACGCCGCCGCCGTCGTCGTCGTCGTCGTCGTCGTTGTTGCCGTTGTCGTCGCCGTCGTCGTCGTCGCCATTTGTCGTGGTATGCGTGTGTGTGTGTGCATGTGTGTCAAACAATGTGCGTGCCAGCGCTGTTTTCATTTTTGTTGCTTTTGCCAGCGCCGCTGTGCTTGCTTGGCCAGCATTGTTGCATAGAGAGTTGCGACTAAAATAAAAATGTAATTAATGTAAAATATATACATACATACATACAACAACAACAACAGAGGCAGCAGCAACAAGAGTTGAAGAAGAAGCAGCAGCACTAGCAGAAAGCGCAATAATAATAACAAAAGTGTGCCCAGCTGCGGCGAATTGAAGTAGCCGCTGTAAAAGGAGAAGGGAGCAAACGGAGAGCAGACGGGCAAATTGCAACAATCGAATGCAGCCTGCATATGTATGTATATATATTGCAGGTGTGTATATACATATGTATATAAATAGTAACTAGTGCATTGGGCAAATTGAAATGTAAATACACACAAATAAACCCACACAGACACACACTCACACACATATGCGTGTGCGTGTGCGTGCGCCTGTGTGCATATCCTGTGCGTTGTTCAGCGATTACATAAAGAAAACAGCAACAACAACTGCGACAAACAAATGCAATAAAAAGCAATTAAACATCTTTTAAGGTAAATCAGCGAACATTTTCAATGCAGCATATATGTATATGTGTGCGTGTGTGTCTCTGGGTGTACGAGTGTGTGTGTGTGTGGGTGGCGTGTGTTTGTATATGCGTTTGTTTGCACATGTGTTGCCGAATGGTCGAGGGGGCGTGGCGTTTGCTGTGTACCCTATTGCGGCCTTTGCGGTTGTGGCTTGTGGCATTGCCTTACTTTTTGTTGTTTTTCCGTTTCTGTTTTGCTGTTTTTCTGCCTCTGTTATTTTTTTTTTTTTTTTTTTTTTGTTTTTTGTTTTTTTTTTTTTTTTTTTTTTTTTTTTTTTTTTTTT